TAAACAAAAATTTATTATTCGATTGAGATGAAGTTTTGCACAAGTCATTTTGTTTGACCCGAAGACGAACCCTATTAAATATATATATATATGTATATATATATATATATATATATATATATATATATATATATATATATATATATATATATATATATATATATATATATATATATATATATACATATATATATATATTCGTCCGATTTGCCTTTTTTGTGCAGCAAACGTGTAATATCAGCCCAAATATTATGGAATTTTGCACATACAATCAAATTAGGCCTGAAAAAAGTATGACAAATTTTATCGAAATCGGTTCAGATATAGCTATAGGTCCCATATATACTGTTCATCCGATTTGTTATATTTGTTCCCCACAGCCGTAATATTCACTACGTAACAACGATATTCAGGGACATATATCAAATACAGATCAGAAATAACTTTGCTAAATTTTATCGAGATTGGTTCAGATTTGGATACAGCTATCATATATAACTTCGTCCGATTTGCCTTTTATTGTGCATCAAACGTATAATATTATACCAAATGGGATGGAATTTGGCACTTACGACCGAATTTAGTCTAAAAGCTAGTACGTCAAATTTCGTGAAGATCGGTTCAGATATAGCTAGAGCTCCCATATATATTGTTCATCCGATTTATTATATTTGTTCCCAACAGCCGTAATATACACTCCGTAAAAACGATATTCAGGGACATATATCAAATACAGCTCAGAAATATCTATGCCAAATTTTATCGAGATCGGTTCAGATTTGGATATAGCTCCCACGTATATATTTATGCAATTTCAAGTTAATTTTGCTTCAAATGGGAAATACAAGCCCCAATTGAAATAATAACAAGTTAAAAATGTGAATATGAATGAATACCCTCCACCATTTGGAACGTATTTGGAAATTTTCAAAAAATTAAATCCTTAAAACATTCTGTTAAAATTTTAAAAATACCGAATATAGCCGTTATATTGGGATCTATACGACGTGGACCTACATAGGCATTGTTTGCCATTACCATATTCAAATTCGAAAATTGAAATAAACGGTGAATAATGTAGCTTGAATCATCAAAATATCGTATATAGGGAGGTACCGTTATACCGGAGCTGTGCGAAGACCTGGCCCAGCATAGACAATTTACTGTCACAGGCTATAGCATCCATTACTAACGTCAAATACAATATCTCAAACAATTTCGGTGGGTATTGTACCTAAATTTTTTTTCTTATGCTGTAGTATTCATTACGAACTTCAAATACCAAATTTAAAACAATTCCGGTGAATAATGTCGCAAAAATCATCACAATACCGAATATCGGGAGGTACCGTTATATGGGGGCTATACGAAGACGTGGACCTGCACAGACAATTTTCTGTCATAGGCTGTAGTATCCATTACGAATCTCAAATACCATATTTGAAACAATTCCGGTGAATAATGTCGCTAAAATCATCAAAATACCGAATATCGGGAGGTACCGTTATATGGGGGCTATATGAAAACGTGGACCTACATGGCCCATTTACGAACTTAACCTGCCTACTGGAAAAATAAACACGTGTGCAAAATTTTAGCCTTCTATCTCAATTCGTTCGAAAGATAGCGTGATTACAACAGACAGACGGACAGACAGAAAGACAGACGGACGTGGCTAAATCGACTTACAATTTTACGCTGATCAAGAATATATATACTTTGTTGGGTCTGACATGAGTATTTCGAGGAGTTACAAACGGAATGACAAAGTTAATATACCCTCCATAGTATGGTGGAGGGTATAAAAATTCTTCGGCAAATTTAGTCCTTTGAACTTAAATTATAATTATAGTCATAGCTTGTATGATTTAATTATCCCACAAAAACTTTTAATTGTTATGTGAAGCTCTACTAAATATGCAAAGTGGTGTAGGACATCATAAATTTGGCCCCGGCCGACTTTAAGACATTCTTTAACGATTTTTTCATTCAATATAGGTTGTTTGATAACACAATACAATTTGTGAAATTTTGTAATGTTTTTTTTTTTTTTTTTTTTTTTTGAAGGTCCAGAATGTGAAATTGAGTTCAGTAATTCATTTCGAATCACATACTAAGAATTTGCATATACTTGACCCTTCGAATTGACCCATGATAATAATAATTTTCATTGGATGTGTTTGATATAAATATATTGGGTGTGTTTGATTATAAATCTAATAAAATTTAAGCATTGAGAAATTTTCGCTAGGAGTTAGTTAGATCTTAAATCTGCATTTAACCACCTTTATCGGTACTGATGTACTGTGTCAAGTTTTACTTGATCATTGTTGCTTTAGTTGCTGTTACGATGGTGATATGTGAACACTTTCTCCGTCGACATCCTTGCTCCGAAAAAAAAACATTTTCTAATAAAACCAAATAAACTGCATGTGATATACGGAGCAAACTAATTTGCATAATCGTGCCGATATGTTGTGATCCGTAAACGTTTCTTTATGTTATTTATGATAGGTTTTTTTTTTACTTATTCACGTTGAAATAAATAAACGCGGACAGACTATAATTATTACATTACTTCGACATTCATTTGTGAGGTTCTTGGAAAAAAATAAATTACTATTTTACATTTATTAATATGACATACCATGATATCTGCATTTATTAATATTTATTCCTTATTACAATATCCATTCTCCTTCATAAACTTTGCGGGAGCTGAAAAAAAACACCAGAAATCTCTTCCAATATTTCATTGTTTATTCCACCCAGCAAAACCTCACACATAAAGCCACATTGAAATCATGGCCCTGATAACATTTCTGTATTCATAATTAGGCACCTTTTCACGAGCCCTCCGATCGCAATTAAAATGAAATCGGATAATGATATATATGGGAGCTATATCCAAAGGTATTCCTGAGCTGAACGGAGTACATAACGGCTGTGGAGAACAAACATAACAATTCGGATGAACAATAGATATGGGAGCTATATCTTTAATATCTGAACCGATTTTCACCAAATTTGGCATACAAAATTCTATCCGATTTGGGCCAATATTACACGTTTTGTGCACAATAAAAGACAATTCGGTCGAAGATATATATGGAAGCTATATCCAAATCTGAACCGATCTCCATCAAATTTGGCAAAGGTATTTCTGAGCTGTATATTTCCCCGAATATCGTCGTTACCGAGTACATATTTCAGTTATGGAGAGCAAATATAACAAATCAGATGAACAATATATATGGATCCGATATCCATCAAAATTTGGCATACATATTTCCAGGTTTAATTTGGTCGTATGTACACAATTCTATACTATTTGGACAGATTTTACACATTTGGTGCACAATAAAAGGCAAATCGGACGAAGATATATATGGGAGCTATGTCTAAATTTTGACCGATTATCTCCAATTTCAATTTCTTCGTCAATGGGTCAAACAAATGACTTGTGCAAAATTTCTTCTGGATCGGGCAATAAATGAGACCTGTACTTTGTTTACAAAGCTACATGAACAGACAGACGAACATGCATAAATCAAATCAGAATGTTATTCTATGCAGATCATCAAAAAGAACTATGGGTCTATCTTCTTCAGCTGTAAGGGATCGTGCTTGGACTCCGAGGACGGCATTCATACTGTAATTATTTCTGACATCCGTGACTATGAATGCCACTCAGATCTGTCTGACAGGCTTCTTGATCTAGAGGCTCTCTTATACGTGGGACCTCCCCCACTAGATTATTAATGTCCTTCCTGACACGCCTGGGTGAGCGAGTATCAGGAAGGACATAACATATAATACTTTGGTTAACTCCCATTAAAACACCCAAGCAGATACTGCAACGAAAGTATATGGTTATGCTGATGTGCGAGGAAGACCTTCGCCTCCTCATGCAGATGGTCTACTGTTGTCATGAGGAAGCACCCTGTCGCAGTTCTCGGGACAGTATTCTGGCTGGTCTGGATGTTCTTCCACAGCGTAGCACTAGCATACCCAGATCACACTGGGCCGCATAGCAGACCATGGACAGAGGTTTACAAGGTCCTCTTGTCCACACCACAAGTGCCGCCGGCCAGCGCTTTGAGGACCTTGTTCCTACTCTTCATTTTGTGGTAGATAGCTGTGGCTTGCGCGGACGACTTGAACATACCGAAAATACCTGAAGGTCGAATGTGACCTTCAGGATCTTGAGGTTTTTCGTGATCGGAATTATATATCTCTTGACGTGCATATTCAGCTGTGTTCTCATCTCCGCAGACCATGTGGTGAAGGATGTGGCGGATATTTTCATATTGTTCGCGTGGAAGCAGACGGCTAGCTATTCGATATAGTATTTAACTTACACATATGTTATCAACACCGACGCCATGATCATACAATCATCCGCATACGTTACGAATTCTTTGTTCTCATTTCGGGTATGCGACTAGCATATATAGCGAGCGGTTGCAGCTTTGATGATGACTCGGAAAATCTTTTATACTACCCGAAATTCGGAGTGTTTAGTCAGTTCTCTGAAGCGAAGGTTTGTGAAGTCTCTGAATTATGGCCAGTGAGCTTTCACTTGGTTAGGGAAAGTACGGCGTTCAGAGGTTATGAAATCAGGCGGTCTGCTAATGGAAACGATTATCGGGAGATGGCCTGACCAAACAGAAATGACTTCTCGAAAAAAAATATTCAATTAAGTCCACTTCACTTAGCAGGAAGATTCAAGACGACACGGCAAATTCCTTAGCCGTAGGTCACACTCTATAACTCTATTTTCTATCTTCACCCCCTTCTATTAACCATTCCTTCCTTTTTTTCTTCCTATTCTTGTAGGATGAACATAATGGACCTATAGGTCTCCAAATGGTAACTGCGCGTCCTTTAACCTAACCTAAATCCACTTTTGGTAAGGTATTTTGAAGGTTTCGGCCCCTACCAAATCAGCTGTACTTCGGGTCTACAAATTTACAAACCATTAAATAAAACATAGACCATTAATTAAATACACCACACATATGTACATATGTATGTTTCTTTTTTTTATTGTTTTCGACTTAATGAATTAAGCTTTTCTTTGTATCGTTTGTTTGCTTTCTTTTTAATTTATTACAATTATAATACTTATCGAATAAAAAAATAATAATTTATCTTTATGTTGTTCTTTGTTTGTTTTTTTATGTTTTTTTTTTTTCTTCTCAATTTTTCTTTCCTTGCGTTCTATCGATTAGTTTTTTTCTGCATCCATTCTAGGCTACATTTACATAAAAAATATTAGTATTTTTAATTATTATTGAATTTGATTTTGTTGATTTATTTATATAGGCATTTACGCGTGTTTTGTTTAGGTGTGTGTGTGTGTGTTGGTGTATGTTTATGTATGTAAGGTAGGTGTATGAAAGTGAATCTTCTAAAAAATTTCGTTTAAATTTAGTTTTTTTTGCTTTTGTTTCACCCCATGTTAAAAATATAAAAATCCTGTCGTATGTAATAAAAAACACGGCTTCCATCTTCACGTTGTATCGGCTTCCTTAGAATTTATGACAAAAATGGATTCGATGCTGCTGCTTCCGGTTTTAGCCAAGGCATATTGTTGTTATTCTGTAAAATAAATGTAAGGGAAACATTAATGGGACACAATAAATGTGAATCAAAAAAAAAAAATAACCAAAAAATTAATAGAAATATATAGAAAGAAAATCGCATGCAATAATTTTCTCGTTTGGGAAAAGGAATATTATAACAAATACAACCAATGTTTTTAAACGACTACTATAACTACTACTATGACAACTGTTAGAAGTTAAATTTTGTTTTTTTTTTTATTTTTATAGTTTACAGTTAGGATTAGTAAATTTGGCTATGCGTGTTTTTTGAACGGATATTGTGTAACAAATAAATTCATTTGCTAGTTAAAGTTGTAGTTAATTTTTAGTTGTTTTTACCCATTTTTTATTTAAGCGTCCAAGCTTCCATTGATGGCTACAAGATACAAAATTGCAAGGAATATTTAAATTAGCATTAACATTTGTCTGGATTTTTCGAAAAGGGATTCTTAAAATTAGTAAAGCAATTTTTAATTTTTTTATCAAAGGTTTTCTCTTTAAATCACAATCTATAATGCTAGCATTCATCGGAATTTTAAGAACATTATACAATCGCACAGGAATTCCAGGAGCACGGAAAACTATTTACATATACGAGGTTAAATAACGAATATATTCAAGTTTGGTCAAAAATGGATGTTTGATAAATGAAACCTCTTTTGTAGTTTCAAAATAGTCAGTAAAAACAACAACGGGTTTAGTTGCTTTTATAAAAAAAAAAACTACGCTCATTTATTAGAGAAGAAAAAAATGACTATGTTAACAAAGGGATAAGGATAGAGCCACCTATACTCATCTCCCTAGGGCCTAAAACTCTTCATCAACAAAAATACACAGGTATAAAAGGCGATAAATTCCGCCGACCGAACTTTTGCTACTCTCCACCATGAAGGAAACCAGTAAGAAAAAGTCAAAAGTCGGGCGGCGCCCATTATATGATACCCTACACCACTGCGCATATTTAGTAAAGCTCCCGTAACAAAAGAATTTATTTTAAGCAGATCATACCACCTATCAACATTTGGCTTTAGAGAAGTTATAGTTTGCTATAGAATGCATGATATCACTTGGAGAAGGATTATATTAAAAAAAATAAATAAATATCGGAGCCAAGTTGCACTAAATGGGCTGATATTTGCCATTATTTGCACAATAAACCTGAAATCGGATTAAGGATACATATGGGAGCTATATCCAAATCTTAGCTGTTCTCGACAAAATTTAGCAAAAGTATATCCGAGCTTTATAATATATCTGGTACCAAATATCATTGTTGTCGTAGGCATATTACGAATGTGAGGGACTTAAACACCAAATCGGATGAAACATATATATGGGGGCTATAGCTATATTTGAACCGATTTCCTCCAAATTTGATGTACTTGTTTCTAGACTGAATTCGGTCGGATGTACCAAAATTCAGGATTTTTTGGTTCACAATTAACCCGAAATCGGTTGAGGATATATATGGGAGTTATATCCAAATCTAAACCGATCTTGACTGAATTTGATACACTTATTTCTGAGCTGTATCTGATATATGATACCAAAGATCAGTGTTGTAGAATGCATATTACGCTTGTGAGGGATTCTAACACCAAATCGGATAAAACATTTATATGGGAGTTATGGCTATATCTTAACCGATTTTCACCAAATTTGAAGTATTGGTTTATACCTTACCAATAAACCTTATATCGGGTAAAGAAATATAAATGGGATCCATACCCAAATCTGAACCGATCTCGATAAAATTTGATAAAGGTATTTTCGAGAAGTATCTAATGTCCGGTACCAAATATCATTCTACTGGAGTGCATATTACGCATGTGAGGTACTTAAAACCCTAAATCGGATGAAACATTTATATGGGGGCTATATCTATATCTGAACGGATTTTCACCAAATTTAATTTTCTTGTTTCTAGACTGAATTCGTTTGGAAAATACAGGTCATTTGGACTTATATTAGCCATTTGGTGCACGACTAACCCGAAATCGATTGAATATATATAAGAGCTATATCCAAATCTGAACCGATTATCACCAATTTCAATATGGTTCGTTTTTGGGCCAAAAGAAGGATTGTGATTCTATGAAGATCCTCAAAAGTAACTATGGGTCTATCTCGTTTCCTTCTCCATGTAACAAACAAATGAACAAGACATAATACCCTTACCACTATATGGTGTAGGGTACAAAAATATAGACAAATTTCCGTCATAGGTTGTACGACCCATTACGAACTTCAAATTCGAATTTTAAACAATTCCAGTATATAATGTCGTTTGCAACTCCTCGAAATACTCAATGGGTTCAACATGAGTATTTCGAGGAGTTGCAAACGGAATGACAAAGTTAATATACCCTCCACAATATTGGTGTAAACCTCATTAGAGAAAAAATGAATAATCATGATTTCCCGGGCAAAATTCAATAATGGGTGAGGTGACTGACCTTCCTTGGCCAAGTAGAACTCTGGTTGCTTTGAATGATAGACATATCTGTCGTGGGAACTATTATACATTGTTGTTGTTACAACAGCCCCAATATTTCTACAGGCAGTTCTAGGTTGAGTAGGGTCATTGTGGACTTGAATGTTATACACTGGTGGGAAGTGTATATTCCGCATACTATGGTCAATATTCTGTATAATACAAATAACATAATGGCAATTACTCAGATAATATATACGTAGGTAGTAATGGGAGCAAAAGCGCAAAAGTCTTCGCTTGAAGTTCAACTGCAATCGAAAAATGATTTTTAGCAATGAAAACAAATAAAAAAGTAACAAAGAAAAAGAACAAAACTCAAACAAATCGAACTACATTCGGATATCTTGTACTCACTTCCAATTTACACTGGGAACTATTAAAATCATTAGTGGTATCATCGAAACCATAACCAAAGAGATTAGAGCCAGCATTGGACTGTTGCTGTAGATTCAAAGGCGTTATGGTAACTCCAGGTGTAGAAGCCAACGTGGCTGATAAAATTTTACTATAATTCGAGGTGAATGTGGACGACGATGTTGTTGGTGGTGGTGGCATTGTTGCCGATATTGGGTTTTGATTTAAAGTTCCAACAAACGAATTAGATCCTAAAGGCGTGTTGTATGAATAGGAGTTGTTGTTGCCGAATTGATAGTTGTTGTTGTTGTTTTGGTTTTGGTTGTAATGAGTTTGATTGTTGGCATTTAAAACATCAGGTTGTATTGAAAAGGGTGCTGCAGCAGCAGGAACAGAATATGATGCAAATGAATGGGGCACAGGGGAAGCTGGCGAGGGAGATGATGGAGGTGACGACTTCAACGATGAATAAAAGTCATTGATATTAATTATTTCAACATGCGGATATAGAGAAGGATACGACAAGTGAGTTGAAGTGTTATTGGAATTCTTAAACAAATCCAAAGAATCCATAAAGGAGTCATTGCCTAATGTGATATTGCGCAAATCATTAATGGAACTATTGAAAAAGTTGTCAATATTTTGATTGGAATTTGCATCAACCTTAAAGGCATCATAATCACTTTTCGAATTTTTCATTGTACTGGGATGAATGCTGTTGAAGACGTTACTGTTAGTGTTATAATTGAAATGGTTTGTGTTCACATTCGATTTTGAACTATTAGTAAAAATTGTATTGTCATTAAAAGTATCAGTTTTGAACTGTTAAAAGTTAAGTGAAATGTCGGGAGGAGCCAAGCCAAATAATTGGTTATTTTTTGAGAGAGACAGGTCGGGATTTGTTTTTTGTAGTAATAAAAAGATTTGGAATGAATGCATTTTGTGTTAAAAATAAAGAGAAGAAGAAGTATAAAACAATTTGAAAAAAAAATTAACGGCATAAACAAAAGAAAATAAAAAAAGATATGTAAATAAAAATTAGAATACTAAAGTAAAACAACAAACAAGTAATATTGCTTAAAGATATTAAAACCCCAATGCAAACAATTCCCTAACGAGTCGGTATTATCATAATAATGCTAAAAATTTATGTTTCAAAGATAAAGAAGACTGTCATAAAAACAGAGATTGTTGTATGGATGTAACTTTAGTCATAATTGTGTGGCTTTCTTAAAATTGAAATAAAAATTATTTTTTACCTTCTGAGCAATTAAAATTCATATAGTAAATGAGAGTACCTTTCAGAAACTTCAGAAACAAATCACAGGCGCAAATTTAAAACCAGTAATGAAAAGTCAAAAGTCGTGCGGTGCCGACTATATGATACCCTACTCCACAATGCATATTTAGTAGAGCTTCCACAAGAAAAAGAATTTATTTGAAGTAGATCATACCACCTATCAACATTTGGATTTAGAGCAGTTACAGTTTGGTTTCAGAGGGAATTAATATATGGAAGCCATATCCAATTCTGAATCGATTTTCTCTAAATTTGACGGAGACATTTTAATCTTGTATATCAAATAACATTGCTATTAAAAATATTTATCGGAGCCGAGTTCCACATATGGGAGCTATAGCTATAGCTATATCTGAACCGATTTTCTCCGAATTCGATCTACTTGCTTCTAGACTGAATTCGGTCGGATGTATCAAAATTCATGTCATTTGGATAAATATTGGCAATTTAGTGCACAATTAATCAGAAATCGTTTGATGCTATGTATCGGACCTTTATCCAAATCTGAACCGATTTTGAAAAAATTGGGCAGAGTTATTTCCGAACTCTATAAGATATCTGGTACCAAATATCATTAATGCCGAATACATCTTACGAATGTCAGTGACTTAAACACCAAATCGGATGAAACATATATGTGGGAGCTATAGCTATATCTGAACCGAATTCGATGTACGTGCTTCTAGACTGAATTCGGTCGGATATGCCAAAATTCAGGTCATTTGGACTGATATTGGGTATTTAGTGCACAATTAACCAGAAATCTGTTGAGGATATATATGGGAGCTATATTCAAATCTGAACCAATTTTGACAAAATTTGATACACTTATTTAGCTATATGTGAACAGATTTTCTCCAAATTTCATGTAGTTGCTTCTAGACTGAATTCGGTGGGATGTACCGAAATTCAGGTCATTTGAATTTATATTGGCTATTTGGTGCACAATTCGGTTGAAGATATATGGGAGCTACATCTAAATCTGATCCGATAATCACCAATTTCAATAGGGTTCGTCCTTGGGTCAAACAAATATTGTTTGGAAAATTTCAGCTCAATCGGATAATAAATGCGACCTGCGTTTTGTTCGATAGAATAAATGGACAGACGGGCGGACGGATGGACTGACATGCATAAATCGACTCAGAATGTGATTCTCTGAAGATCCTCAAAAGAAACTATAGTACTATCTAGCTTCCTTCTCCATGTTACAAACAAATGCCACTCTTATGTGGTGTAGGGTATAAAAAAACGTTTTACCTAATGTGACAAATAAAATAAATTTTTTGACATTTTAAAATGTTCAATGGCAGAATTTTCAATCAGCTAACGATTTCGAATCATCATCCAAGACAACGCACAATCTTTGTAAATGTTCGTGTTTTTTACATATTTATGCAAAATGAGTCCCCACTCTAGAAAGTATCGGTTAACGTCATTAAAAATATACATAAACCAACCACTATCTCACAATCAATCCCTTACCAATTAATTCCAACAATACACCTCAAAAATACTTTCAGCTTTACAACTGATAGACAAGGAATCGAAGACTAAATCCCTTACCAATGTTTTGTTTTTTTCGGACTAATATAAACATATCACACGCTAAACTAAAAGAAAATATCCCCACACTTACCTGTGACGCTGTAATATTATTACTTGCTGGTGCCCATGGATCTTGTTGCATAGTCATTTGGAACGATTGTTGTTTCAGCTGATTTATGGACGGCACCTAAAAAATTATGAAATATACACAACGAATTTAGAGAATGGTATATGACTGGGGTGTGTGTTTGTCCATCTTACTGCTGGTTGTTGTTGTTGGAACAAATTTGTTTTTGGTGGTATAACAGTATCACTAAATGGATTATAAGCTGCGGCATTTGTGGTATTCTGTGGTACTGCAGGCTTTATTAAATTATCTAAATTGACCAAACTTGAATTTTCACCCAAAAATGATTGGGGATCTTTTAGAGGTCTCTTCGATGTAGCTCCTGTCGATGCATTAACTGTTGATGTATTTTTTGTAGACAAAGGATCCAAATCATCAAGGAGATTAGCTGTAAATAAAATTGACCAATTGAAATCCTGTTCACTTTGAGACAAAATTGATACTTACCATTATTATTGCTGGCATTGGATTGTGAATTCGTTGCAGTCAAAAGATCATCGGCCATTGTTTTATTGCGATGTGTAATTATATCGAATTCATCTAAATCAGGGGATGGCTGTAAAACAATAAAATTGGTTAATTAAGCATTTAAGAAAAGGATTTGTTAGCGCTTTGTTTTATAATGAATACTACGAAGTTTTTGTTGTGCTTTTAAAAGCCCGTGGGTTTTTGAGATTGATTTTTTATGTTGAAATGTAGAAGCAAAAGCACTGTTTTTCTCACACCAAATATAAATAGCAGTTTCATAACATGTAATATCATTATAGCATTTAAGCATAATACTAAAAATTTTTGAGGTCATACCTTAACTGTTGGATTTTCTATACTCTTCCAAGGATCAGCACTGCCATCATTCGTTTTAGGAGCCCAAGGATCATCGCTCACCAATGTCTTGGGTGGTGTTGCAGACACTGTTGGTTTATTACTCTCCGTTAGCCAAGCATCTACTGATGCAACATTTGCCGCTGCGGTTGGTTTCGATGAAAGCCAGGGATCGACCGAGGCAGCTGCAGCAACTGCATGACTATTGCCATTTGTTTGTAGCCATCCTTCGGTCGACGAACCCGATGTCACAGATGGTGATTGTGTTCGCATTCCCCATGCCTCGGCACCATTTGTGCCATTACTATTCATGGCTAGAGTTGCACCTATGCCACCAACAGCTCCCATATGAGCGGCACTTAAAGGTGTGGAACGTGATGTAGATGCTGGCTGCCATGGATCAACTGGCGGCGAAGCTGTGCCAGTCCAGGGATCGGACATTTGACTGGCTGCCCTTGCCGGCGTAATCCAAGGATCCGTTGTTGTAGTTAAACCGCCAGCGGCTAAACCCAATGGTGGACTTGAAATACTAGTAGCTCCCAATTGTATATCCAAAAGATCCAGCAAATGTGATTGAGGTTCTTCTTGTTTTTTAGGTTGTTGTTGCTGTAGCTGGGGATGTTGATTGTTTTGCCTAGAATGTAATTCATTTCTATATGAAAATTGATAAACTTGCCTCCATTTAATGGATTCTGCAAAACATAAGAATAACCTACTTGAAATCCTGTTCACTTTGACTCAAAGCCAGTTGCAGGCGGACATCATCACTGCGGCGTTTTGCTTCCTCCTGCTCAGCTTCTTCGCGTGACATGGCCATGGCCAGTTGTAGTTGCAACTCTTCCTCGCCAGCAGTTTGAGGACGTACCATTTCCAATTCTGAGGTGGGTTTAGTTGGCTCCTCTTGCCAACCAGGTGGCATATCACGTGCAACAGGACCATCAATATAACCATCACTACCAAATCCACTGGGATATTGGGCAAAGCGTTCCTTGGCCTTAAGCGCCTTAATACGTTCATTCTTTAGACGTTCATCATCTTTGAGGAGATTAACCAATTGTTTGGCTTTTTCACGAACATGATTGCCTTGGTCTTTGCCCTCCTCATGGTAAACAAACTCCCGTAAAGTCTGTATGGCAAAAATGTTCTCTTTGCATTGTTGGGCTACCTTCTCATTGCCGGTTTTGATGAGATACTCCAAGAGAATTAAAGCTTTGTAGACATGACGCCAATTTTTGCCATGGTCATTGAGACGTTTCCAGATCATTTGCATGATTTCCGAAAATGCCACCACATTGTTTGTTAATTCGGCTAGCTCAGCCATAATGGTGGCCGAAGGACCCCATGGGTCATTCGATGTGGCCTCGCGCACTTTAACCTGCAGGTGAAAGAAAAGCACACTTAGTAATAATCGCTTATCCAAAACAAATTTAAAGATATTTCTTACCTGGGCATCTGAATAATTATGGGCTAAATTTTTGATATTGCGTCTTAGACCTGCCACATTGACTTGCATATCGTCCTTATGTTTTCTCACTTGAAAAATGAAAAAGACAGATTTCAAAGAATTATCATTTAAAGTTTGTGTGGAAAATAGACTAAAATTAGTACAGAGAAATTACTAATTTTTGTAAGTTTCCCAACAAAAGTTATGTTTCTTAGATATTTAGGAATTTTTGTGGCTAAAATATTTAGCACCTAAAAAACTAAACTATTCCATTGAATTATTGAGTAAAACTGAGGAATATAATGTAAATAAGCCCCTGAGAATGTCCACTACTAACTAATAAGGAAAAGCCTTACAAGTATTTTTTTCTTGTTTCGCATTTCTATACAATTTCAATGTGTCTGACTGACACTAAAGACTTTAGACGATGTACTGCCAGCCATTTACGTCACATATTGTGCAAAGTACAATGTTTGCCCCCCTGCATTGTATTGTTTGGATGGCTGTTTGTGGACATGTTGAATATTTTCTTTTGGGCGTTTAGTTTGATAGACAATTGTCCAATTAAAACATAACTTTTATGGATTACTATTTTTATATAACTTTATTATAATAGGAATGATCTTGAATTGACAATTCTTAAGCTTTGGAGTGATATCGCAAATGCATAAAAATAATTTTAAAAAATGTTGAAAAAAAAAAACTTTTTCCGGCATTTCAATAGTTATACAGGGTGAGATTAAAAAACTGCAACCAACTTCAGACTGCTGTCATTTCTAAGCCACTCGTCCGACAGCTGTTAAAATTATTCCAATGACAAGCGTACAAAAGCATTTTGGTGAGAATTTTCCAGAAAAAAATTATTCGTGATGGAATTCAAGGGTGATAGTGTGATTTCTTTACATTTGGCTAGAAACACAAAGGTGTGGCTATCGTCAGAGCCCTCCAGCATTGAAATGTGAATAAATCTTTTGTGTCTTGTACCATCGCTCTTTACCGTGATACTAATAGCGTAGCCCGACTTCAATGAAGTGGACGAAAGAAAACAGCAACATCAGCAGAAATTGTTCGAAAAGTAAAGAAGCGACTTGATCGAAACCCGCGTCGCAGTGGCCGAAAAATGTCTCGTGAGCTGAACATATCGCAATATTCCATTCGGCAAATATTGATAAAATGAGCTCGGGGTAAAGCCTTTGAATTTCCAAAAAATGCAAAAACTTACGCCGCAACATAAAAAAATAGACTCAAAAGAGCTAAAGAGTTGCTTCGCTTGGCCGAAAGTGGTGAACTGCCGATTTTGGTTTTCTCCGATGAGAAAACAATCGTTGTCCAGCAATTTATAAACAAACAAAATGATCGTTTTTACTTGCCAAAGAGGTAAGCTGAAAATGTGCACCTTCGGTTGGCCACTAGAACTCAAGCGCCGGCCATGGTGATGATGTGGGCCGCCGAATGCCGAATATTATCACGAAAATATTCTGGAGGGTGTATTAAAGCCTTGGGCATGCAAAGATTTTGGCCGCAGACCTTGGACATTCCAACAGGACTCAGCATCATCGCACTCAGCACGCGCCACCCAAGATCTCTGGACACCAATCCGTTGGACTATTGTGTCTGGAGTATTTTGGAAAGCAAGGTTGGCACTAAAAAATGCGGAAGTGTCGATCACCTGAAGCAAGCGCTTTGCCGGCAATGGGGCAAAATACCGTAGAGCAACATTCGGGCAGACGGTTTCATTGGCCGTTTGAAGGCCATAATTCGTGCCATTCGAACAAATCTAAACTTATTCTAAAATTTGATGCTATTTCCGACATTTTTTGCTTTTATTCACAAAAATTAAGAAAAAAAACGTAAAAATTATGGCATTTGTCTTTCTTGCATTTTTTTATATCACGCTGTATATGCTTTATGGTGTCTATGGCCAATATTTAGAGATGTTACAAATGGAATGAAGAATTTAATATACCCTCCTTTCCAAGATGGAGGTTGTAATAATTAGGACCATTGGGGACCATTTTTTTAAATATAAGGACCTAACCTATAACACTGTGCAACAATTTTCGGGTCATGGGAGTGGGAAATTCCAAGTGGAGGTGATAGCATTCGGTTAGTCGATCACGATCCCAAAAAGGATTTAAGTTCTTAATTTTAAGGGTTATGGTATGGGGGTGGGAGATTCCAAGTGAAATATTGTGATATGTTATTTTGCTCCTTTAGTGAAATTTGATGAAATTTTCGACATTTTTGCTTTTATTCAATTAAAATTAAAAAAAAATGCAAAAATTATGGCGTTTGACTTTGTTGCAGTTTTTTTTATCTCACCCTATACATTTAATCAATTTAGTCCAATATTTTTATGAAAAATTAAAAATCTCAGATTCCCTAAAAACTGTCAATTCAAAATAACAATTCAATTTTATAAGAAGTTATGTCATTCATTAAACTCTTCGAGTATTTCTAAAACGTCTTAATCCTAAATATTTCGAGTGTAAAATAAAATAGAAATAATAACAAACAAATAAACGAAAAGTAAGTGGTGGTGTCTTTAAAAAAATGTTTGCATTTGATTTAAAATGTTTCCGGAATTGAATTGAAAAGCCATTACTAATTCGAATATAAGAAAACAAATACCAAAACAAACATAAATTCGTGATGTGGTGAGTGAATTTCGTGAATAATAATTAGTGTGATAGTGTAAACGACAAGGTGTCTATGGCAAGAACATTTATTATTGTTATTATCATGGTATCAATGTTGATTGTTATTGTTTTTTTTTTCTTTTTGTTGAAAAAGTTTGTAAGATAGTTTTGTGCGTAGTAGGGTTACCAAATATTGTTAAAAAAAATTTGTTATTTATTGTTGATAATGCCCTTATCAGAAGCTCACATGAACTTAATGATAATTGTAGCGTTGTTGAGGCAGAGATTCTTGCAATGAAGAATGCAACCGAAATGGTAAGAGAACTTTGTAGTAGAAAATGATTACAAGTGATTGTGTATATTGATGGTCAGGCAGTTCAGTTCAAAATGGCCGGTGGTCCTTACTACTGTGGACCACGTGAGGATGAACAAGAGGTAGGGTCGGCTGAATACATCCCCCATTCGAACATTCATTATCATCTATAGGTTAGATAAAAGCATCATGTAAATTTTGGATTTGAGGAGACCAGGGGATATCAAATGATTTACATAACCATGAATTTCATGCAACTTGAAGTCGATATTCTATACTGGAACGTTTGGGCTTAAAAAAAAACCACCTCTACTGATGCCATCACAGGGTGAGATGAAAAAACTGCAACCAACTTCATTGTTGCTGTCATTTCTAAGCCACTCGTCCGACAGCTGTTAAAATTATTCCAGTGACAGCTCATTATATTGTTTACAAGCGTACAAATAGGGTGTATTAAAGCCTTGGGCGCGCAAACATTTTGGCCGCAGACCTTGAACATTCCAACTGGACTCAGCAGCATCACACTGAGCACGCGCCACTCAAGAATGCTTACAAAATGAGGTTCCTCGCTTCATTTCCAGCGCACAATGGCAACCAAAATCTCCGGATACCAATCCGTTGGACTATTATGTCTGGAGTATTTTGAAAAGCAAGGTTGGCACTAAAAAATACCAAAGTGTCGATCACCTCAAGCAAGCGTTTCGCAGAGATATTTCCGATTTCTATAAGATATTTCGTATCAAATACCATTGTTGTCGAATGCATATTATGAATGTGAGGGACTTAAACACAAAATCGGATGAAACATATATATGTATGGGAGCTATAGCTCTATCTGAACCGATTTTCACCAAGTTTGATGTACTTGCTTCTAGACTGAATTCGGTCGGATGTACCAAAATTCAGGACTTTTTGACAGATATTAGCCATTTGGTTCACAATTAACACGAAATCGGTTAAAAAAATAATGGTGCTATATCCAAATCTGAACCGATCTTGATAAAATATGTCAGAGGTATTTCCGTAAGATATCTCGTACCAAATATCATTCTTGTCGAGTGCATATTACACATGTGAGGGAAATCAAATGAAACATATATATGGAAGCTATAGCTATATCTGAACCGAATTCAATGTACATTTTATGTACTTGCTTCTAGACTGAATTCGGTGGGATGTGCCATAATTCAGGTCGTTTGGACTTATATTGGCCATTTGGTGCACAAATAACCCGAAATCGGCTGAAGATATATATCTAAATCTTATTCGATTGACACAAATTTCAATAGGTTTCGTCCTTCGGCAAAACAAATATTGTTTAGAAAATTTCATCTCAATCGAATAAAAAATGCGGCGGACATACGGACGGACGGACTGACTGACATGCATAAATCTTCTTAGGAAGTGATTCTATGAATATCCTCAAAAGTAACTTTGGGTCTATCACGCTTCCTTCTCCATGTTGTATACAAATATACAAAGACGTAATACCCTATGCCACTACGTGGTGTAGGGTATAAAAACAGTGTTGGCATTTATGGCTAAAAACTTTTTATAACTGTTGTAGTTGTTTTTTAAAAACTACTGTGGTGGGTCTTTCCGAACCCATAGTCCAACGTACCTTTCACCTTGGTAAACATTGCAAGTTTCTCACATATAAATAAATACAGTTTTATAGAAATGACCATAATGGGATTAGACATATTTTGCAAAAACATTTAAAAAAAAATCATAATTTTCAATTTTGTGAAGAGGTCTGTATAGGTATATTACCGTCAAATAAAATAGGATGGGTAACAAAGAAATAAAAAAAGGTCATAAGCTTAAATAAAACTAACAAAAAAAAATCATCAACATGTGGCAACCCAACAATTGGTCAATAATATGGAATATATTGTAAGTATTTCAAACAATTATCTTCCCTCTCTCATTCTTCCAATGAAATGTAATTTCAAACATAATAAATTAATAAAAAAATTAAAAAATAAACAACTCATACACATGTGTTAGACTGTATGAGGACCGATACTTTATAATGAACATGAAAACAAGAGTTAGCAGGAGATATATATTATGATTGTGACTGGGTGTTTGGAAATTGAAAATAAAATTTAACACATTTTTTTTTAAATAAGAACTTACTTTTTAAGCCTTTGTTAGTTTCTGTTTAAAAAGGCTGTTCGTGTGAGAAAAGCTTTGGTTGTTTTTAAACTATTTGTTTTCTTTGTCTTTTAAGAAAAGTTGCTTTAAACTGTAATTGATTGGCGTTTGTTTAGTGTGCTCCAAAAGCAAGCTGAGAGAAAGATTAGAGTTATAAGAACAAATTTAAAGCACAATTTCAATGAATATTATTTTTTAATAGTACAACAACATGATTTGGGAATTTTACCAAAAAAAAGTATATATGAGATTCATTTGCAAGGCATTTGTATATATCAAGGAAATACATAAATAGTAACAGAATCCACTTAAAATCGAAAATATTTAAATGCAAATTAACAATAAAAGAAACATTTTGCAATGGTTCAAGGGGAAATTTTTACATAAAAAATAAAACACATTATATTAACAGGCCAAAAAAAACAGGGGCAATTTCGCCGGATCGGATTTGGAAATTTTGGAACAAAAAATTCTATAAGAAAATATGGACGCTCCCTTACTTCAAATTTATCTAAACAAAACTTCGTAAAAAACTTATAATACTTTCCTCAAACAATGCTGAATATTGGGAGGACCTTTGCTGATGTCGATCTAAGGATCGTAGTTTAAAATTTCTGCATATAGAATCTATGGAATTCAAAAATAAATCTCAAAAACTTCCAAAAAATGTTTTAAATACTCTTTCATTATAATTGTTTGAGTAGTCGTACACAACTAAACGGATTTCAATCAAGTCACACTTTTACTCATCGAAAGAAAACGCACTAATGTCAGATATTGCAAGAGAAAATGGTGGTGAAGAGGAACGATTTGGTTTGCCAGACAACTGTTAGACATTTGCAGTTAGAATGCAAAATCCTCAGTCCATGCTTGTGTCGTTAGCGAAACCATATAACTGCATAGAAATAGATGAGCATAGTGGAATAGATCGATAAAATATGTGGGAAAACAAGTGAAAAAGCTGTAACTTTGGCCGGGCCGAACTTTGTATACCCTCCACCATTTGGAAAAATAAAATCCGTTAAAAATTCTGTTAAAATCTTAAAAATACCGAATGTAGCCCTTATACGACAACGTGGACCTGCAACTTTTGTCATTAGCCATTACAATATTTAAATGCGAAACTTGAAAAAAATTAGCTGAAAAATGTATCTAAAAGCATCAAAATACCGAATATAGGGAGGTACTATTATATGGTGGCTATACTAAAACGTGGACCTGCACAGACAATTTTCTGTCATAGGCTGTAGTAACCATTACGAACTTCAAATACCAAATTTGAAACATTTGCGGTGAATAATATCGCTTAAATCACCAAAATGCCTAAAATAGGGAGTTACCATTATATGGGGGCTATACCAAAACGAGGACCTACATGGCCCATTTTCAGTATCAAGAGTTCAAACCTATCCAACTAACTCCAGAAGATCTCTGACTACAGCCCATTAAGTAAGCAGAATGCAAACTCACATGTACTACTGCAACAACAATCACGGCTGAACTTTAAATTGGTAGACATCCACATCCCTGACAGAGAAATCTGGACACATAACAGCCCACCATTCAACTCTATATCCGTCTATACCGATGGTTTAAAGATGGAAAGTGGAACGGATGCAGGGGTCCTCTGCAAAAACCTGAACACCAGAAACTGCTTCAAACTGAACAACAACTGCAGCGTATTCTAGATACGAATCTTTGCTATCAAAAAAGCCATAGAACGGTTCGATGAATATATATCGATAGTCAAGCGGCCCAGGAATCACTAAATTCATGTACTATTAAACCTATGGAATTTTTGGGATGTAATATGCACTGGGAAAGGCTAAGTCGTCCATTAAGCTTAGTTGGATTCCAGACCATTGCACCCTGCATACAATGCATGGTGGAGGGTATAAAAAAACAGTAAAGAAAGTCGGTCCGCCCGACTTTATGATACCCTACGCCACTTTGCATATTTAGTAGAGGCTTCACATAAGCAATAAAAGTTTTTATGGGAATTTTGTGAGAATTAAATCATTCCAACTATGATTACAGTTACAATTGTAAGTCCAAAGTAACTAATATATGAGAGGAATATCTTCCTTTGAATCGATTTCTACTAAATTTGCCCAGACATTTGTGCCTTTTTAGTTCGGGCTTGTATTACCCATTTGTTGCACAATTAACTTGAAATCGGATAAAGATATATTATATATGGAAGATATACTCAGCCGATCTCAAAAAAATTGGCAAAGCTATTTCTGAGCTGTATTTGATATATTTCTCCAAATATAGTTATTACAGAGTGCATATTACGGATGTGGAGAACAAATATAACAAATCGGATGAACAATGTATATGGGAGCTAAAGCTATATCTGAACCGATTTCGATCAAACTTGGCATAGTTATTGTCAGGCTTAATTTGGTCATATGTAAAAAATCCTATACTATTTGGGCTGATACGCGTTTTGTGCACAATAAAAGGCAAATCGGACAAAGATATATATAGGAGCTATATTTAAATTTTGACAGATTATCTCCAATTTCAATAGGGTTCGTCCTTGTCCAAAAAAATGATTAATGAAAAATTTCATCTGAATCGGGAATTAATTGCGACCTGGAATTGGTTTACAAAAATACATGGACAGACAGACGGATTTGCATAAATAGGCTCAGAATGTGATACTATGCAGATCACCAAAAGGAACTATGAGTCTATCTCGTTTAGTTTTGCCTGTTTTTTTCTTGGTACTGAAGTCAGAATATAAATCTTGTGGTTATATCTCTTTTCGTCTAAATTATATTTAATGTCGGATATTTATTTCTCGGTTGATGGTGGTTAGAGATTAAACATGTGTAAATCATTCTTGCCGGAAAATCTAGCTTAACATTTCTCTGTCTTAAAAATAAACCCTATTCATACATTTTTTCAAACTAAATCTAACAATCTTAGATTGACAAACATTAAAACGACAATAAAATGATTTGGAAAAACGATTATCCCTTAAGTTTTCAAGGTTAAATTATGAATCTACCCTCAGTCACAGCTTATTGATAATTCATTTTTATCAATTTTCAATTAAGCGAGCATAAGCAAAAAATTCCCCTTCGAACAGTGAAGCTTTCGAAACACCGCTTATAACATTGCTCGATGAACTACTTTTTTCCATTGGCAACTACAAAAACAGTTGCAAATTAAGCGCTGTGATGACTCAACCTTAGAAATACCTTCAATTCAACGAATACGTTTTTTATCTTATCAACGAAAAAAATCACTCTATCTACAGACATACAAAGTAAGCAAACATGTGAGAACTTACTAAACAAAAAATGTAAAAACAATTTATGAAAAGAAAAACAAACAGAATTCATTAAGAATAAAGAATGAAAAAAAAGAGAACGAAGAAATTGTTTTTTAATAATATTAAAATGTAAAGAAGAAAGTATTTTTCGGTGTATGTACGTATGTCGACTTTGTTTTCAAATGACACACATTATTTGCTTAAAGATCAATGACCAGATATAACGAGGTCTCAAGGCAAAAAGTCAGATATAAGTCAAAGTTTGGAAAAATGGCAGCAAATTTGTGCCAAGAGTTGGTCTACATTTTCAAAAAAAAAAAAAACAGCCAGAGGAGCAATAAAACAAATCATATTATTATTGTATACATAAAGTTCAGTACTTGGTTTTGAGTTTTGGGACTGGTCATTCTACGTCAGTTATTTAAATGAATAAAGGAAATACTGATTGAAAAAATGCTTATATTTGAATTTGAATTTTTGTTTCAATTTATGCATTTCCTTCACAAACTCAACAACTGGAGCAGACGTACACTCTTTTATTTAATTTATTTCACTAAGCATTTTGCAATGAATTTAATTTTGCGAGTATATGTGTGGCAAATGCTTTTCAAAACAACAAATGTCAATATACGACACTCGCAATTGAAGACAAAGAAAATTAAGGTTTTATATTGCCTGCAATTTGGAGCTGTGACGCTTGACACTTCAAAATATCAGCATTACTTCCACACACACTGCTGTGAAATAGAAAAATAAAAAGAATAATATTAGTGTGATAAACACTTAGGTAAACATTAAAAACTCTTGGGATGTCGTGATAAGCGAAATTATTCGAGAAGAAAAACAAACACCCCACCAGTATAGCCAAGCACTTATCAAATTAATATTGTTTTTAGAAATTAAATAGAACGTTTGGCATCATTCTTTGCATAGTTTAAATGGAATTCTAAGATTTTGAAGCTCTGTATGTTTGTTTGTTTCATTTGTACTGTAAGGGGTCCTAGAAAGTTTATTAGCATGATAGGATCGAAAGCGTATTTTTAATCCAGTCTCAGGCGGTAACGATCGGATTATTGTCACTACACTTGTGAACGTTATTTATGATAATGAAACATTCGTTTCGCACCATTTTTGAACTCTTTTTCTGTGACAAAAAAAAAAACTACCGAATATTGGGTGACAAATAGTAGCAAGAGCTTCTTTTAGAAAATTGACCAGCAATCTGCGGGAAGAGATCAAGGTCGCTCATCTCCATTGGCAAAATCAGACATAAAACTATTTGTGGGAATCATCGCAGGTCACTGTAACATTGGGCCATGAATTCTAATTGTGGTAGCGACGACACTAAAAGTTAAAATGACCGACCATTTACTCTGCCACTTGCCAACACTTTTCGATGTGAGACGTAGGCTTATGGGGGAGGTATTTAGGCACGATCTGTATTCATTCTCCGACAGTAACTTTTCAGTTAGCCTGAAGACGAAAAATTGCTAAAGACAACAGGCTAACTTCTTCGTGGATCATTTTCTAACCTAACCTTCTGTGAAAATGTGAAATGAAAACTTGTATAAAGGAAAAAAATGTCAAACGAAAAAAAAAATTATAAAGGAAACCTTTTTATTTCATATTTTAATAGAACAAGAATCTAATACCTAATGTCGTTAAGTTTTTTACATCAAGACATAACATGGAATATTAATACAATAAATATCCTATAATAAAACAATTTTTAGGAGAACGTTTACCTGCACCGGCTGGTGCGCATGATAACTGTCGAAGGGTGTATCCGATTTGATCCAAACTTGGTACATCGTCATATTATTGTCAAACTTAGATCGAGTTTGGAGATGGACAATATCGGTCCAGTCCTTCAGGTACTTCCCCCATAAAATGTCACCATCTTCAAAGAAAATAATTTATTGCACATAAAGAGAAATGAAAATTAGACTTTGCTTAAACTTTGCAAATCCTAATATTTCCATCAGTTCTAGATCAGGTGCGAAAATGGACAATATCGGTCCACTCGATTCAGTACCTCACCCACAAAGGTTCAAAATTTTGAATAATTATAACTCTTATAAAATGTGATGTAAGTTTACGATTGTCTTCAAATTGCACACATCACAATATTTTTATTAACCCAAGGTCTGGTGTGAAGATGGAATATATCTCTTTTGGTACCTCCCCCACAGAGGGTCAAAATTTTGAATGCCCATGAATCTCATAAAACACTAAATTAACATCTGATTCCATTCAGACTTGACACATCTCAATAATTCCATCAACACAAGGTTTGTTATAAAGATAAAAGAGATCGGACCATTCCTTCTGGTAGCTCCCCCACAAAAGGTCAAAATTTTGAGTACCCATGAAGCGGATAAAACGGGAAATTAACATCCGATTCCATTCAGACTTGGTACATCTCACAAGATCTGTTGTAAAGATGGTTGAGATCGGACCATTTCTTCTGGTACCTCCCCCATACAGGTTTCCAGAAAACAAAACGCACAAAAAAGCGAATTAAGCATCCGACTCTTTTCGAGTTTCACACATCCAAATATTTTTCCTAACACAGAATCTGTTGTGAAGATAATATATCTCCGAATCTCTTCTGGTATCTAACCCACTAACACATTTTTCAATGCTTTATCCGTCATAACTTGCGAAACATGTCGGCGATTCTTTACATCTTGCTATATCTGAGTTGGCAAACTGCTTCGGAATCTGACCCATAAAGGGTCAACAGTGTGAATAATCTTAACTTAAGGCTGGGGTATACATCCTTCGGCAAAACCGACTGAAAGAAAAGATTTTCTATCCACCAAGAACGAAAAATAATTAAAAAAAAATTCAAATACCGAGAGTCAGAAGGAATCGATATGGGAGCTATACCAAAAAAATGACCTATGTTGAAAAATGAAACCGATATTTTAAATTTTGATTATTTGTTAGCTCTATGGGACAGATAACTCCGACATTTTCAATATCAAATACCAACTTCAATATCTGGACAAATGTTCAAAGCCCAATCTTTATTTCGGAGAGTTCTGTCGTAATTTCGTCAGAGGGACTAATAGACAGACGGGCGGATATAGTTAAATCGACAAAGAATTTTATGCTGATGTGATATCCTACATACATTTCAGGTGTTACAAATGAAATGACAAATTTAATATGCGATCCACTAGATGGTGGAGGTTATTATTATCATCGATTTAAAAAAAATATTGATTTCATTGGACTTTTTGCGTTAATACAAAACACGTCAATGGCTGGCCGGTGGTAGCAAAGTAGTAATTCAAACAGCAAATTGCTAAATTGAATGGCCAACTACTTTCTATTTAGCTAGCTGTAGTAATGACACACAGCAACAAATCAGCTCAGCTAAACTATCGAAGAAAGGCATTTGAAAGCTTTCAAGAGCGCGTTCGGTATACAAAAATAGCAAGAAGAAAATAAACATATTTCCGGTTTGAAATTTATAAACAAAGTACAAGTGGATTTGAGGGGAGGTATGCGGAGAGCGGTGTGGAGAAAACAAAACAAAGAGAAGGCGAAAAGAAAAAGACATTTACAAAGGAAAATAAAAACACAAACACATAGCCGTCCCACCTCCTTCGTTGGTCGGTCAACAGATGCACCAAAAAGGGGTGGGTGGTTGATTGGTTGGTTGCTTGATTGCGCTTACTAATAGTAAATAGACAAGACACTACAATACATAATAATAGAAAAGCAAAAGTCTTACAACTTTTATAAAAACACAATACAAAACCACACACATACATAAAACTACAACGATATTTTTAACAATAAAAAGAAGAGTAATATTATTAAAAATTGAATAGTTTAAATATGTTTTTTTTTCGGTTTGACTCACCTGTATGCAGCAAACAAGAAACGGCAACAAATTATAATGAAAACAAAACTAAAAAAATACGGGCGTTACACTCGATTGTGGAACTTTCGTCGGTCGGGAGTTTTATTTTACTTTGTAATGTTTCTGGCCGACTGATGAACCCAATCAACCAAATCCAACGGGGAATGTGCAACAGCAAAAGAAGAAAACAAAATAAAATAAGAAGAGCAAGAATACAGTAATGGACGAGCGACCATTCAAACGATAATGATGATGATGACGGTAAACGACGTAACGAGACAATCGTCCAAACACACACGCACTGGGGAGGTGAGTGAGAAATTAGTATAGCGGTGTCACTTACAAGCTGTTCTTCTCCTGAGCAGCTGTGTGTTTTGCAATGCTGGAACGATCGATCAACTGACTAACTAGCTGGCTGGCTGGAATTGGGAGGTAGGGCGGCAGTGGACTACAAACACTCAACAAATCTTCACAATTTGGGAATGATGAAAATGAACAGATACTTAATGTGTGTGGTGCAGCAGCGGCAGCAGTCTCAGGTCTTAACAATATGTTGTTTGAATACGTATTTCACACTTAAAAATATGGCGAACCCACGCAAAGTTATTAATCAGTAACTCAACACCACAATTACGGCGAAATTTCAGCTTTCTTTGTAAAATCTCTTTTTTCTAATTTCTTTATCCGACTTTTCGAATTTTACAGCAATATTTTTTTCTTTACTGATGACACAGCATGAACAATGAATGAATGAATGACGTTTTTAAGACGAGGAAAAAATACAAATTTCTTTTGTTATTTTTTACAATTACAAAATAAAGAACTCAATACGAAATAATTTGTTTAGCTTCGCCGAAAAATCACTTTAGGTTTGCTTTCTTTTTTGTTGTTTAACTTGTTTTGTCAATAATTTATTATAATTTTTTTTCTATGACAGCAAAGGAAAGTTCGAAGTATTGACTTTGTATGAATGACGAAGCCAGTCTGAAGAAACTTTTCGCTACTCCAACGGCGTTGACATTCTTCAAGACCGACATAGAAGTGCAGTGGAATAGTAGACATGTAACGCAATTAGAAGGTTTACACTGTGGCATTCCAAAAAAAGTAGTGGGAAAGTCTAACACATACTGATTTTTACAGATTTGTGTATCTGTTGATGTGTGTCGATAAAAAAGTGAATGCGTTTCAACTTTATTTACTTCATTTATTGATATAAAGAAATACGTGTTTGTTAACATTGGGTATTAGGTAGGTCTGTTTTTCAAAACAATAATGTCAGGTACCAAAACAGTACATATTTTTTAACATGTGCAACGGAATATCTATTGTCGACCTTATAAAATATTTTACAATGGAGACAACAATATATAAGATGAACAAATGAAAAATATTAAGTTCTGCCAGGCCGAACTTTTAAAACCCTCCACCCTTGGGTAAAAAAAAAAAAAAATACACTGGTGGCCAAAACTAAAGCAACTGAAATTACAAGGAGAATGAATGCCCTGTAACTTTTTCAAAAATTAAGAAAATGAGAAAGTTTTTCTTGTTTTAAATTAGGTACTTTATTCACTTTTCCAAAACCTAAAACATAAAACCAAAATTAATTTTTATATAAAAAATAATGTTTGGTAAAGTCAATTAACCCGATTTTGGCTTGGACAAAACAAAAGCAACTCTGTTGTACATTCATATAACCGCTGCAATTTCAGTTGTTTTTACTGTGATATTTATCGCTTTTTGCTACCTTCGACAATTTCGCTTGTCATAAATCCTTTTTGAAAAGTTTTTTACAATAGTATGTGTTTTTCTTTTCGTTTTTTAAGTACTGCCCAAAAAATTTTTTAAAATGGCTAGAAGCAAATACAGTAACTGAATTAAACAGCAAATTATCAGTGACTATCAAAACAACATATCACAGAAAATAATTTCCGAGAAATATTTCATAAATATTTCTGTGATTTCATAATTATTTCTGTATACTAAGTCGGTTTTTTGAAACTGGATCAGTAGTAACAGTCTATAACCGATGAAGGCCGTGAAAAACTTCAGCCCGTACTAATCCACAAATTGTGAGAGAAATAAAAAACAACTATTTAAGAGTTCAACTGGATTGGTGACAGAGCAATCATTGGATATAAGCTGGAGATCAGTACGTAGACGAGTAGTGGCAGCTGGTCTGCATACCCGTAAGACATCAAAAAACCATTTATATCTGAAAAAATCAAAAAGGCTTTCGGAAACGATAATATTAAGTGGAATCAAGCTCAATGGAAAAAACATTATTTCTGGGATGAGTCTACGTTCAATATTAAAGGCTCAGACGTGAAAAATTTTACGGTGAGAAGACCAAAAAATGAAGGACTCAAGCCGCAGTGTTGCAAAGGTACAGTGAAGCATGAGGGAGGGTCAAAAATGGCGTGGCGCTGTTTTTCTTACTATGGACTTGGGTCTATCCATAAAATAAAGGAAGTTGTGGATCGGTTTGTTTACAACGATGTGTTGGACATCACGTTGTTCCCTTACGCTGAGTAAAATATTCGGCTGATTTGGGTGTTTCAGCATGACAATGATCCCAAACTTCTATCAAAACTTGTCAAATATTGGTTGCGGGAGTCAAAAATTGATGTTTTGTTATGGCCGGCACAATCACCTGACCTAAACTCCATAGAAAACCTTTGGAGTATCGTAGATAGGAAGGTCAAGCGAGATTCGGAAATAAGTAAACACAACATTTTGGGAAAGCACACCCAATGATCAAATTGAGCGTGTTATAGATTCAATGCCTCGTAGGTGTGCAGCTGCTATCAAAAATAATGGTTATGCTATCAACTACTAGCCAAAATTTAATTATTTTAAAATAAAAAATCAAAAGTTGCTTTAGTTTTGACCAAGCAAAAATTGGGTCATTTTAGTTTTCCACATATTATTTTTCGTTCAAAATTATTTTTGTATTTTTATTTTAAGTTTCTTAAAAGTGAATTAAACCCCTCATATAAAACTGGAAAAATAATTACGATTTGTTTATTTTTGTAAAAGTTACAGGACATTTATTGTCTTTGTGATTTAAGTTGCTTTAGTTTTGGCCACCAGTGTATATATATGTCGACTTAGAATTTTGTTCCTCTAGGACTTAAGCCAGCCAAATTTGCACTTTATGTATTCCCACCCTTACATATTTTCTTTATATTCCAGTTTTGTTATTCCTCGCGGTTTCTTCATTATAGTAAAAAAATTAACAAAATGAATTTGTAATTAATTTCGTTAAATAAATATTCAATTCAATTCTTCAATATAAAGTAAACGATTTCCATTACCAATATTACATTTGTATAAATTTTGCTGTTATTGTTATATTATCAATAAGAAATATGGCAACATGAATTCAGATATTCTGACCTTTTGCTTATTGGTCAGTTTTTATATGTAAATCAAACTTGTAATAACGAAAAAGATTTATATGTCCGACAAAATATTTTTTTTTTACCTGTCGAAAATATGTGATATCCGGTCATAGTTTGACACAATAAGCAATGCGATTATTGTGGAGAATATCAGCCTGGGTCTGGCATGTTGCTGTGCCACACACTATAAAATTATGCGTTGGCAACTCAAAGGCAGATTCATATTATATGATATACGCAAGCTGAACGTTGTGAAATGTATGTCATATTGGCCTTGTTGTTTTTTTAGAAACCGTCGTTTAAAATTTTCAAAGTACGAGGAGCTGTGCTGTGAACAAAGAGTTAACATTTTAATGTATTATTTTGTTATAATAATAAGAAATTATTCCAGTATTGATTTTATAATATAAAAAATATAAAAAGTTTGTTTATATAGTTGGTAAAGTGCTTCGGCTAACCAGTTGAGGTAAGTTAGAAAAGTCTGTAGTCTTGAATCTAAACACAGATCCCCATCAATGAAATTAGTTTTTGTTTGAGATGTATTATTAGTTTGGTTGAGCCAAAAGGTTTGTAACACCTCGAATTAATGATACTAGATTCAGCGTGTAGTATGTATACAGATCATCATATCTTGGCGACCTAAGTTGATCTGTACATGTGAATACGACCGTTTCAATATATAATGTATCACTCTACAGGCAGGTCGCAATATTAAACCGATCATTATGATATTTTGCTTAGCGTCAGGGTTAAGGCCCGATTACAAGGCTATAAATTACAATTCCATTCCAATGTGAATATTTTTTAACGCTGAAATTCAATTTGGGCCAAATCACAAACCTAACTGTATTTCATTCTGCTGTGAAATTAATCAATATTTGATTGACTGAAGACCCTGTTGATTGAAATAAATAAAAGGTTCTGAAGGAACATAAATAAAACCCGAACTGATTTGATACTAACGTCAAATTCGATATGAGGGTTTGTGATGGTTGTTTTTTTTATGTACACTAAAGGTATACATTTTATATACTCTCCACACATTCCGTTGGTAACTCATCCATACTTTTAGACCCCGCAGCGTAAAATACTTAGTGGATTTAGCCATGTCCGTCCGTCTATGCGTCTGTTGTAATCACGCTAGAGGCCAGACGTAATGTGATAGGAATCTAACATTTTACATACAGTTGTCTTTTGTCTGCTGTCGGATCAAGTTCGAAGATGAGCTATATCGGTCCACGTTTTCCTATAGCCCCCATATAATTGTACCTACCCATATTACGTATTTTAACGATTTTCACATTTGGTATTTTGAGTTTATATTGGGGTCTACCTCCTGTGGCAGAACCTTGTCTTTAAATATCCACTTTTTCGTATAGTTTTCATATAATAGTACCTCCCGGCCATTTCAGTCAATAATTTAAAATTTGATAGTAAAAGATTTATTGGGATCTACCTTCTGTGGCATACAATTGTTCATATATGTCCGCGTTTTCCTATAGCCCCCATATAAATGTATCTCTAGATATTCGATATAATGGCGATTTTAGCCACACTTTCTAAAGTAATAGTTTAAAATTCAGAATTCAGTAGCTGATATGACAGAACATTGCCTATATAGGTTCACGTTTTCCTATCACCCCCATATAATTTTTCCTCCCGATATTCGGCGTTTTAATGACTGAAGCCATCTTTTTTTATAGAATTGTTTGAAATTTCGATTGGATGTTCCTAGTACTTGATGTTCCTCCAATACTGAGTTTGCGGCTTTCGCAGACTTATTTTTACATGAATTACTTTTCAAATTGTGGGGGGTATTAAAGGTTCGGACCGGACGAACTTAACTGCTTCTTTACTTGTTTCATATATAAAATTCACCTGCAGTGCAATACGAATAATTTTTGCTAATACTTTACAATCGTCAACGACGGTGGTGGTAAGGAAACTTTTTATTCTCCTCTTCGGATAGTCGCGGCTTTTAAAATAATGTATTTTTGCCAATAGGTCTACCAAAAGAGAATGCTTCTCGGCCCGATTACAAAAATGTGGCTTAAACGTTCATGAACAATTAAAACAATATTCAACATTTCATAGCTAAGTTTAATTTAATTAATCATTACTATTCTATATACAATGGGTATGTTGTATGTATGTGTGTCATCGCTTTAGTTTTGGGTTTTCATACTCATTATCCTTTCTTACCAGCTACATATGTATGAAGTATATAATAGTACTCTATTGTGTTATATGATGTGTGTATGTTTTCGTATATAGAACAAATTTTTATGTAAAAAATATAAACTAAACTTAAAAACAAAACAAAGAAATAATAAAAAACACATAAAACTTAAGAGCTTTCTTTGCTGTCGATGAAAAATAATGACTAAACAATATATTCTGCTTGTAGTTCAAAGGTAGTTAGTGTGTCAGTAGGTGTGTGTGTGTGTGTGTTTGTTTTGTTATATACTAGAAGGATGTGGATTTTCCTTTTTTGTTTCGGGTGAAAATATTTTTTTTACTTCCTCGTCTTCGTTGTAATCACATGATATCACCATCGCGATCTGCGGAGGAATGCTCAATAGAATGGAAATAGAAGGGGTTCTGGATCACCTATACGTACGTACATACTCTCGACAAAGACATAAAGTTATGCAAATATTATTAAAACTTAAATTATTACTTTTTGTTGTTGTTGTTATTGTTAATTATAGTATGTGTTGTATTATTGTAATAAACATGATGAATTATTAATAATATCAATTAATTAATTTATCAATCAATATATTCTTAAGGATTTTCAGGCGGCTCATCCGGCTGTAATAAATTTTGTGGTGCACTTCCGTAATCGGTCATGACATTGTTATGATACTCTTCGTGTATCGCATTGGATTTTGAGTCCTCTTCAATGAGCACATCCGGCGGCGGCTGTTGCGGTGGCTCCGCCTCGATGGGAGCAACAACTTTTTCCAGATTTGCTATATATTCAACAGTTGAATATTTCGATTCCACAACGGGATTAGAGGGAATCGTGTCCGATGTTGCTGCATTGTCAATATTCACAACTAAAATGGCTGGCTTTTGTGTGACCACAGATTCTTGTTGTATTTCCGGAGTAACCACATCACCTTCCAAGGTGGCATTAAGTGCTGGCATATGAATGGTTGCTGTTTCAATTTTGTCGTCATCGTTGTTCAGCATTGCTTTTCCATTTGTGATTTCCATGGATTGTTTTAGGGTTTCATTATCGTTGGTCTCATTTAGTAGCTGTTCTTCTTTAACAGGTGTTGCGGTTGTTGAGTCAGACAATGGGGTGTTTATGATGGGGTTATTAGTTGCATCAATAGCATGAGTTGTGGTTATTGGAGCCGGAGTCGTCGTTGATGTTGTTGTCGTCGAGGTGGTAGTGCTTGTCGTCGTCAACGGTATTGTTATGACCGGCGCTTCCACAATTTTGATTGTTGGTGTTATAATCAAGGGCTTTATGTTGGCTCCACCACCTGCCAATGGTGCAAATAGTGGTGGCAGTAAATTATCTGCTTTCTTCAAGAGTTCAGTTGACGGTACTATAACTGGTATAACTTGTTGTTGGCTCAGATTCACACTTGGCAACATCAAAATATATTGACGGCTCTGACACATTTCTTCGTAGGTTTCAAAGCATTTGGTGCGTAATCTTATTTGTTTCTCCGTGTTTTTCATCAGAGGACAATATTCATCCAACAACATGTTGCAGCTAAATGGATTGTCTGGAAATGAATAGGGGGAAAATAAAAAATAAAAAAATAAATTTAAAAAGTTTTGTACTTTTGATTAAAGCCTGTCGTCGACTTACCTTCAAGATACAATTCCAAACGGCCTGGTACATTGTGATTGACGCAACTGGTCTTTGCCACCAATTCCCGAGAAATCGAAACAATTTGGTTGTGTGTCAAATTGGCTTGACACAATACCGGTAGACCATGGAAGTCCTTATCGAGCACAGTCAAATTGTTGAAGTCCACTTTGAGAATTTTCAAGCTTGGCAGTACTGTCTGTAAGAAAAAATTTAATAATTTATTTGATTCCATGTTCTTGAAGAGAATATTCAACAATTTTTAAGTTATACAATTAAAAAAATGAATAAAGTGTCATACTTTTCGAAAAACCTTATATCGAAATTTGGACACACATGAGCCGAATATCTTTTGGGATAACAGCTTAACCAAACATTTGGCATGTCATTTTAACCCAACTTTTGACCTACTTCATTAATATGTCTTGGAGTAGCTATGTACTACTTAAATTTGTATTGTATTATGACTGTTCGTTGTGAACTACTGCAATCAGCTGAAATTACTAATTTGGGGCAAAATAAGGATGAAATCCAAGGAAGCTATATATGGAAGCTCTATTCGACTTCTGACGAATAATGCATTTACACATGGACTGTTTTAACACATCAACTTTTTGCTGGCGCATTTTACAGGGCTATATTTGACTTCGTGCATTTGTTTGTAACATAGAGAAGGAAGCGAGATAGACCCATAGTTACTTTTGAGGATCTTCATAGAATCACTTTCTGAGTCGATTTATGCATGTCAGTCCGACTGTACATGTATTCTTGCGATTGAGATGACATTTTCCAAACAATATTGTTTAACCCAAGGACGAACCCTATTGAAATTGGTGATAATCGGATATAGCTCCCATATATCTACATAGTCAAAATGACCTGAATTTTGGCACATCCGACCGAATTCAATCTAGAAACAAGTACATCAAATTTGGCAAAAATCGGTTTAGATATAGCTCCCATTTATATTTTTCAACATATTTGGTGTTTGTCAAATTTTATCAAGATCGTTTCAGATTAATCCGATCTCTCGTTTATTGTGCAAATAATGACTAATATCAGCCCAAATTGAGTGAATTTCGGGACGTAGCTTTCCATTTTGTAGAACTCAGATCTGACATATATATATATATTTTTTAAATATAATCCTATATATGTATCTATTTATAAAAGATTAAAATGTCTGCGTCAAATTTAGTGAAAATCGATTCAGAATTGCATATGCCTCCTACATATTAGTTCCCTCTGAAACCAAACTATAACTGCTCTAAAGCCAAATGTTGATAGGTGGTATGATCTATTTTAAATAAATTCTTTTGTTCCAGGAGCTCTACTAAATATGTAGGGTATCATATAGTCGGCCCCGCCCGATTTTTGACTTTTCTTACTGGTTTTGAACTATTTTCTTGACATTTCATACATTTTGGATATTTTATATTTTCGATCTTGCTCTAGACCAGGGCAAGGCAAAGTGTATCCCTTGTGATATCTGTGTGTTCACCAACACAATTGTAAAAAATAAATTGTTTTGAATTTTCTGTCAAAATGGTTTTGGGAGAATATTTAGTTTTATTCGAGCAGTCGATGAAGAAGGTGCTGTCGGATATTTTTATGAATACACCGTAGGAAATATTGGATCACATAAATATATCTTACTACATATTTAAAACAAATATTTCCGAAATTATAAAAATTACAACTATTAAGATTTATATACCTGATTGATTTATTTTTGACAGAATTTGTATAAAGAGGGAATTAATTTCATATTGACCGACAAATTAATTGTCCTTCTAAAGTAGTCGATATTTTCATATCCCCCGATTTCTATGAAATGTCATGTATAGTCTTAGTCAATATTAGGAAAAATAGCAAGATGCGATGTTTATCATTCTGTTTGTAATTCATAGAAATAATCTTTTAGAACCCAACGGATGATATGAGTTTCTGCGTATGTCAGCCTGTGGAAATCGGTATTATTAATTATTAAACACAAATAACATCAAAATTATATAAAATTTCTGTAAATGTAAATATGTAAATGTAACTATGTAAATATGTAAATGTAATATGTAAATATGTAAATAAATATATCTTACTACATATTTGAAACAAATATTTCCTAAATTGTAAAAATTACAACTTTTAAGATTTATATTCGTTAATTGAATTCTATTTGACAAAATTTGCATTCCAATTCACATGGATATAAATTTATTTAATATTGTTAGATAAATGTATTGTCCTTCCAAATTAGTGGACATTTTCATATCCCTTGATTTCTCTGAAATGATATGTACGTTCTTAGTCAAGAACAGGATCTGATGTTTGTCATTCTGTTCGTAATTCATAGAAATAATATTTTAGGGCCGAACGCAGGATATGATTTTTTGATCAGCATAAAATTCTACGACTATTTACGTATGTCAGTCTGTGGCAACCGGTATTACTTTAGATAGTTAGCATGTTATGTCCGAAATTATTAAACATAAATAATATCAAAATTATATAAATTTTCTGAAAATGTCAACTTTTATATATTTTTTTTTTTATTTTAAAATGAATCATAATGAAATAATTGTGCAAATATATCTCCGAATTTTCTGATCAAAATATTAATTTTTACCAATAAAGTTGTTTTGAAAATAGAAAATTTTAAATTGAAAATTTAAAGATAACAAATTATTTCTCACTCTGTAAAGAGAGCCAAAAAAACACTTGTAATATTTTGTTATTTCAAAACACATACAATCACAACAATTTTTTGAGACTCTCTGCCTAGCCCTGCTCTAGACCAGGGCTAGGCAGAGAGCCTCAAAAATTTTTTGTGATTGTATGTGTTTTGAAATAACAAAATATTGCAAGTGTTTTTTGCCTCTCTTTACAGAGTGAGAAATAATTGGTTATCTTTAAATTTTCAATTTAAAATTTTCCGTTTTAAAAACAACTTCGTTGTTAAAAATTAATATTTTGATCAGACAATTCGAAGATATATTTGCACAGTTATTTCAATTATGTTTGATTTTGAAATAAAAAAATACATAAGTTGACATTTTCAAAAATTTTATATAATTTTTATTAAAAAAAATTTAAAAAAAAAAAAATATTAGACACAAATAATAATTTCGGACTTAACATCCTAACCATCTAGGTTGATCCTTTAAAAATTAATACCGATTACCACAGGCTGACATACGCAAATAGTTGTAGAAATTTATGCTGATCAGAAACGCATATCCTGCGTTGGGTCCTAAAATATTATGTCTATGAATTACAAACAGAATGACAAACATCACATCCTGTTATTTTCCCTAATATTGACTAAGAACGTACTATATGTACAGAGAAATCAAGGGATATGAAAATGTCCATTAATTTGGAAGGATAATAAATTTGTCTAACAATATGAAATAAATTTCTATTCCTAACATGTGAATTCGTATGCAAATTTTATCAAATAGAATTCAATCAAAAAAGATAAATCTTAAATTTTTAAATTTTTCCAAATTCGGAAATATTTGTTCCGAATATGTAGTAAGATATATTTGTGCTCCAATATTTCTTACGGTGTATTCATAAAAATATCCGACAGCACCTTCCTCAGCGACTGCTCGAACAAAACTAAATATTCTCCCAAAACCATTTTGACAGAAAATTCAAAACAATTTATTTTTTACAATTGTGTTGGTGAACACACAGATATCCCAAGGGATACTCTTTGCCTAGCCTTGCTCTAGAGTCTAGACCGTACAATTAGTAGACAAAAATGATTACACACTATTAAAAAAAATATATATTAAAATATTTGATGTTGTCATCATGGGAAGGTCTGTTCAGAAGAGTGTGCCACAAGTCTCTCCGAAAACATTACTTTTCTATCATTTCTTATACATTGTATAGTGAGAAGTTTATTTTTGGGCCTCCTTCATGGAAATCCTCTCGATATCAGTGAATATGGTAAACATTTAAAAAAGTTGACGATAAATTATTTAAAATCTCTTTTCATGAAATTTATTAATAATGCCCACACTTACCGTTTGCATTTCCCTCAGTGTTAACAAGCGATTATGGGACAATTCCAATATTTCCAACTTTTCCAGACCAATAAAATCCTCCGGTAATATACGCTCCAAACGGTTGTGAGTCAAGCCTAGAATCCTCAAACTGTTTAAGCCCATTAACGCACCATCCAGAGATGTCAACTCATTGTGATCCAGATATAAATCAATTAGATATGAACTCTTGTCAATGTTATTGCCTTGACTTCCGGACAATTTCCTTATGAGATTATTCGATAGATCCAATTGCTTAAGGGTCAGCAGGCCACGTATTTCATCCATGGAAAACTCTTCGATGGCATTGAATGAAAAGTTCGCCTTGTACAACTTTTTCAATGGCAACAGAGAACCGTTTAACGATTGTATTCGATTGCTGCACAGATATAGCTCTTCCAATTTAGTGGCATACTGAAACTCATCACTGGCCAACAGTTCAATGCGATTATTCGAGGCATACAATTCATTGAGATTGTGGGCATTCTTCAGGACACGATCCAGGCTTTGTATGCGATTCTGTTGTATGTACAACGTTTCCAATTTATTCAGATTTCGCATACTCTCCGGCAAACGTTCAATACGATTATTTTGAGCTATAATCAATTTGAGACGATTCGATTCGGGCAGTTCGTCATCCAAGCTGGCAATACGATTCATATTGATGAAAAGTGATTCCAATTTGTTCAGGTGCCGCAAAGTTCCATTGAGATTTTCGATTTGGTTACGTCCCAAATGTAGTGTCACCAGATTGGGTGGAAACGTGTTGCGATCCAGGCGTGTTATATTATTACTCGGCATGAAGAGATTCATTAGCATTTGTATGCCTTTGAAATCGTCTTGCAGCACAGATTTTATGCGACACCGTCCAATATCGAGAGTTTTTACCACCGGCATATGATTTAGCATATGCTTAGGTACCTCTTCGAGTTCATTGTCGCCTATGCCCAGATACTCGACATTCGATAACCCTCGAAATGGCAATTCCGGAACAGATCTGAAAGAGAAAAGAGAATATGTTAATTTTAATTTTTCTTTGGATTAATTATTGTATATTGTTATGTAATTTGGTTTTAACTGAGCGGAGAGACTTGCATCAAATAAAACGACGATTCGTTTGGATTACGATTCTTTTGTCAAATCTACTTAACATACAGCTTTTTTTTAACGTTTTTCCAATTTTACTTTTCATTACAGAACAATTTAACGTCTCTGAAACATAACTCACTTGCTGACATCAACTCACTCGTATTTATAGCTTTTTGTCTGTACATAAAGGCTTCAGAAATAACAATCCATGTTATTTTACAATATTCCCGCGTAATGACAGCCACGTCCATTCGTAAGAGAGAATACCCAAATCAACGAATGCATGTAAACAACAAAGAGAACAATAGTTATAAATACGAGTGAGTGAGAGGAACCATTGTTAATGGCTTCACAATGAGAACCGCAGAGCTATGATTGATACATAAAGAAAGGATAATGGAAGAGAAGGTCACGATTTTCTGCCGAATTGGATAGAAGCCTCTCTTGCAAATATAGTGCAAAAAACAGGGTGAGATGAAAAAACTGCAACCAACTTCAGTCTGAAAAATGGCTCGTGAGCTGGACATATCGCAATATTCCATTCGGCAAATATTGAAAAACGAGCTCGGGGTAAAGCCATTGAAATTTCAAAATGTGCAGAAAGAAAATAGATTTAAAAGAGCTAAAGAGTTGCTTCGCGTGCCCGAAAGTGGTGAACTGCCGAATTTGGTTTTCTCCTTCTCAGTTGGCCACCAGAATTCAAGCGCCAGTCATTGTGATGGTGTGGGCCGCTATAACAGCCGATAAGAATAAATGCCGAATATTATCGCGAAAATATTCTGAATGGTGTATTAAAGCCTTGGGCACGCAAACATTTTGACCGCAGACCTTGGACATTCCAACAGGACTGCCGGAGCAGGATAGTGCGGGCACTCAGCACGAGCCACCCATGAATGGTTACAAAATGAGGTTCCTCGCTTCATTTCCAGCGCAAAATGGCCGCTAAAAGTTCCGGACACCAATCCGTTGGACTATTGTGTCTTGAGTATTTTGGGAAGCAAGATTGGTACTAAAAAATACCCAAGTGTCGATCATCTCAAGAAAGCGCTTCGCCGGGAATGGGCTAAAATACCGCAGAGCAACATTCGGGCAGCATGTGATGGTTTCATTGGCCGTTTGAAGGCCACAATTCGTGGCAAAGGTGACCAATTCGAACAAATCTATATTTATTCTAAAATTTGACGCTACTTCCGACATTTTTTGTTTTCATTCAAAAAAAAATAAATAAATAAATAAATATAATAAAATAAAAATTATAGCGTTTAACATTGTTGCAGTTTTTTTATCTCACCCTGTAGATGTACATTATAGTGGCACGATATAGCGGTTCCTAACGATTTTATATATTCGAGGTTCTTGCCATATTTTCAGATGAAACCGAATCTTGAGAGGTACCATTATGTGGGTGCTACACAAAAACGTGGACCTGTACATACAATGTTTCGCCACCGGAGCTAGAACCCATTATGGCCCACAAATAACAATTTTTAGACAAATTCGTGAAAAAATTTGGCGAAAATCATCAAAATAACGAATATCGGCAGGTACCGTTATATGGGGACTATACCAAAACGTGGACCAATATATCTCATTTCCAATACCAAACCATCCAACCGGACACAATACAAATTGTTCTACCAAATGTTAAAACTTTACATCAAATAATGTGGGCTGTTTACAGAAAGACGGACAGACAGACATACGGACATCGTTAAATCGATTTAGAAATTTTTTCTGATTATGAATATATATACTTTATGGGGTATATGAGGAATATTTAGGGATGTTACGAACCGAATGGCAAAGTAAATATACCCTCCTTTTCAAGGTGAAGGGGATAAAAAGCGGACGAAAAAAATATCTGGAAATTTGTTAAGCTCGTTGGCTACACTTTAGGGAAAGTGAAAGCCGTAAGCTGGACTACCATCGCGCTATAACCGCAAATGGAGTTTGGATCTTCTGGTCAGGCCAGTAATTTCGTATGTTTTTCCCAACAAATGCACACAGACTAAATCTGGCCAATTATAGGGCATCTCTACAGGGAGGACCAACTTCTCTTCTATCATCGAAGATTTGAGAATGTTTATATTCTTCAAAAGGTATATATACCTTATGGTGGAGGGTTTTAACTGGGTGGATTTTCAACTGACTTGGCAGTTATATTGGTCATCAGGATTAGAATTGTGTTAATATCTTAAGCGAGAACATACAATTTCCAATCCAGTTTCTACTGTTTCTTATCTCCAAAGATGGTCAAACCACATAGAAGTGATAAAGGTTGGCCGACAATGAAAAATTGAATTTGAAAATTTGTCAGAAAAGCTATTATTAACAGACTTTTATCCTTCGACTCCAGAAACCCTGATCTAAGCTCCATTTTTTTACAACTCTATAAAGAATTCAAATAAAAACCAGTAAATCTGTTAAACTTCCTCCACATAAAAATATAATCAATCACTCATAAATAATGTTGCCGTCTATCTAATGATCGTGTGGCGCCCGACTACAAATTGCTATATTGCAAAACTGTCTTCTAACATAAACGATGGAGCCTGTCTGAGTTTGGTATAAAAATAGAATTAGAAAAGAAATATATTTCTAAAAATGGAATGTGTCTCGTTCGGAGCCGGTGCAAAGAAAATTCTAACACGTCTATGTCTGGACATTCAATGTCACCAAACTCAATTTTTTTCCAATTCTTTTGACAAGATGTTCCTCCCATCACTATGATATGTGATCATATTATTATATGGCGCCTGGTCAGCCTATAATTAAACAGAGTCTGGTGCAAGTATGCCAGTGGTCACAAAGATTTTCACTCGATGCATAATTCATATGAGAAATGAAGGAGACGACAACGCTGTGCAAAAAAAATACGTCAAATTGTTAAAGATGTGATAAAATCATCGACTAACTGCAAACAACAATGTCGTTGTCGCCATCAAATCATTTGTCTGCTCTCCAAGAAGATGGCTTGATTGAAGAAATCCCATTTGTTGTGATAGATGATGGATGGATGGTTGGTTACCAACGCAGGAATCACACAAATTATTCATCTATAGATTAATGGTGTCGACATGAAGCAAAAAAATCTATTGCCAACATTCTTCATTCTGCCAGTTGCAAAAAAAAAAGAACTGATGTCCTTTTCAACACATTCCATACACGCCGTTAAAGTGTTATTTTTAGCTACGTGTGATTGCTTTTTATGGCCTACAACAGTTCTTCCTCCTCTAGCAAAAATTATGTAATAGACTACAAAAAATTCCATGCATTTTTCAAGAGGACTGTTTCAATGGCAGTAGGGAAGAACACGTTTTATGAAGATCAATTATATTGTGTAACTTTAGGCATGTATACGACATCGCCCAAAGACGACTATCATCGTTCGACAATAACACTGTGCGACAAAAATCATTTTTTTCCATAATTGCAAGAAAAATCGAGTAGAGCCTAAAATAGAAGATACGCGTATCGGCGTTTTGAAAAATTACATCGCCAAGTAACCTAAATAGAAGGACCAAAATCACCCTTTTCCACTTTTTATACCCTCCACCAAGATCCCTAAATATTCGTCGTAGACCCCATAAAGTATACGCTTGTAAACAATATAATGAGCTGTCACCCTGTATATTTATGATCAGTATAAAATTCTTAGTCGATTTAAAGGTGTCCGTCTGTCCGTTTTTCTGTTGAAATCACGACATAGCCCACATTATTTAACGTAGAGCTTCAAAATTTGGCAGAACAATTTGTATTATGTCTAGGATGGTTGGTAGTGAAAATGAGATGCACCGTTCCACGTTTTGGTATAGCCGCCATATAACGGCACCTCCCGATATTCGGTATTTTGATCATTTTTGCCACAATTTTCCACGGATTTGTTTAAAAATTAGAATATGTAGTTCGTATCGGGTGGCAGAACATAGTATATATAGGTCCACGTTTTGGTATAGCCCCAATATAACGGTATCTCCCGATATTCGGTATTTTGGTCATTTTTGCCACAATTTTCCACGGATTTGTCTAAAAATTGGTATTTGTAGTTCATAATGTGTTCTAGCTCCGGTGGCAAGACATTGAATATTTAGCTCCACGTTTGCCTATAGCGCACATATAACGATACCCACCAATAATCGGTAATTCTAATAATCCTTTACCATGGCATTTAAGATGATTTGGTATGGCCCCCATACAACGGCCTCAGCCATATGGCTACAGGGGGCATATCTCATTTTTTGAAAAGTTTAACAGCATTATTCAAAGGTCTTTCTGGTTTTTGCAGTTTAAAGTGGAACTCGTTTCAATTCATATACTTTTATTTGTTATATCCTCAGCCATATGGCTACAGAGGGTATGTATAATTTGATACGGTCAAAACGTACCTAGTCGAAACAATAATTTTAGACCCTATGTCTCTTTAGGTCAAATCTGTTTCAGGACATTTGGAGTCGATCTTGCGGTGTCCGTCCGTCTGGTGCTCTCGAAGGGAGTATCCGATTTGATCCAAACTTGGTACATCGTAATATTATTGTCAAACTTAAATCGAGTTCAGAGATGGGCAACGTCGATCCACTCCTTCTGGTACGTCCCCCACAAAAGGTCGAAAATATTTAACTGCTCAGAAAAAAAGGATAATCAGTGCTAGGTCAGGTGCGAAAATGAACAATCATCATTATAATATTTTTTAACCCAAGATCTGGTCTGAAGGTGGGATATATCGCCCCACTCCTTCTAGTACCTCCCCCACAAAGGGTCAAAATTTTGAATATAATATTTTAATTTTTTCTCTTTATTTTAATTTTGTAACATCGGCAAAAAATGTGCGGATCTGTTTACTTATTGCTCAACGTTGCTCATTACTTGAAAAAAAAAAATTAAGTCGATTTAATTGTAATTCTTTAAGGA